AAGTGATCGGTGCATCAATGAGCCCGGTGACGTGCTCAAAACGCCATCCTTTATCGTCAGCAGCATATGATTGAATCCACAGTTTAGTTTCTGTACCAATGAAAACTGTCTGATGTTGTGAACTCCATGCCAAAGAAGAAGCGGATACATTAATTTCATTGATATAGGGATGAATAATGAATGTTGAAAGGTCTAATCCATGAAGACCTGTATCAGTAGCAATATATAACCATCCTGCTGTTCCCAGATCATCTATAAACAAACCGGCTGTAATGTTTGAAATATTCGCTAAGTCAGAAGGAAATGGAATGCTTTTTATAATTCTACAAGAAGTTGCATCCAAGTGATTGCATAAAATGAATTTTACACGCTCTAAGGAGATGAGAGCAGCTGTGTAAATCATAGCAACAGTTTTATTATGCGAGACAACCAAAAAACTCTTAGTGTCCATCTTGGACAAAACTACTGAAGTATTGTTGTCAGACAAAGACATCCAAGACATTTGTAGTGTTTCAACTGTTGAATTAGTACTTTGAGTCAATAACCAAAACCCTTCAGCAGCTTGAGCATAATATTGTGGCAATGAAACAACTTGATATACATTGTGAATATTAGTGAGTACTGGCCAAGCAGTAGATTCATTGGCAAATGGCGCAAATAGGTAACGTTTAGCAATGACCTGTTCATATTCGATATCTGGGATACTTGTCGGTAATACCAGACGACTATCAGCCAGAGATTTATGTTTTTCTGAAAATAGACCACTGATTATTATTATATAAGCAAAGTACCAAACGAATGTTGACCACATTATATCACATTAGAATAAAAAATGTCGTGTGGAGGTAAAAACAAATGACTTATATGCGAAATAGCTACAAGTAAGAACAACACAAGGCAATGATATCATAAATACACATTAGATTAGTAACAAGCAAGATAAAACATCTGATGCTGTGAAGCTTTTTTAAATGCAATTATTTCATGTCGTTAAAAAACATTCCATGAAAAATTAACTGACGCCGTAACCTAGTAGCAAATTGCTTTTGAATATCATGGAAAAAGTAGTCTATCCTATCCAATAATCAAATTTAAAATAGATTTGCTGCTTATTATTATATAAAAAGAGCATGAAATATTATGTAAGGGTGAGGGTGTGGGTGAGTTTTTAAAAGATTATTCCAAGCTACTTACGACGATCGTTTCGTCCTTGCTTAAGGGACTCGTCAGGTAAATTTGGAATAGTATATAGCTACATGAATACATATATCCAGAATCTTAAATTTAAAAGAAAGTTATAAGAGTTAAAGGAAACTCTTAACAGCATTCTAATGTTGAGATAGAGGGTATATAATTAGTCGTAGCAAATCTTGAGGGTGTTGGTGTGGGTGTGTGAGTGTGGGTGTGCGTGTGCGTGGGTGTGGGTGTTTGAAGAGAAGAACAATACCCATAAATACCAACACCCACACTCCACACCCACACCCTACTGCATAGTCTACAAATATTTTATCAGATTCTTTGTACGAAACATTTCGACATATACATATATATATAATGTGGTGTCGTCTAGCTGTTGAAACATGAAGCCTCTTTGGTCTCACCAGTATACTTATAAAAATTCTCAAAATTGATTGAAGATTTTCAGATATATCAGATGAGTGAACTCTTCAATTCTATCTAATCTTTCGAATTTTCATACTTTGTTCAGTTATCACAGTAGTTCTTCTTTATTGGAGGTTGATCTTCGCCTAGAGTAGATTAATTCAAATTAACTTGCACCAAAACTAAAAAATAGTTCTTGATTTATTTGGTTGATTAGATTTAGTTAATGATTACAATCTTTTAGCCTTGTTTTATAAGTTTGCTTTCACGATTATGATTAATCAAATTAAACTCTTGAGATTAAGAAGTGAACCTAAAAGTCTAGATTTGTGTAATTTTAGCGTTGATCTATACCAGCTTTCCATAAGATGAAATGATTGATGAACGTTTGACATCAATATAAACTGAGAAAAAACGAATTATTCGTAACAGAATATGATTATATGAAGAAATTTTACTCTGAGTTCAAAGAACTGAGTATAATCTGTCTTAGTTGAGTGGTAACTATTACATGTATGATATCATTTTGTCGTGAACAATGCTTCGTAACATGTTGATGTGCCTTAAAACGCATGTTTCTATAATTTCATAAAATTAGCGAAAATATTTTTTCTCTTGTATCTTGGAAATAAATAGTGATGAAAAGTTTTGTTTTCAGTAATAAAATAATATTGAATACTTATTTGAGATAACGGGAACTGAGATGAGGTTCTGTTGTTTAGAAATCAAATCATGAATTTTGCTTCCGATAATATTTCATCGACTTTTTAAAAAATAACAAAAAAAAATAAATGGCTGGACATAAAGTAAAATTACAATCAAATGATGGTGAGATACTCGATGTTGACTGAAAAGTTGTTAAACAAGTACTAGGTGGGTAAAAAATATTATTCCAGGGGGTAACGCTATGATTTCAAATAGCAATCATAACAAAGGACCCTGCCGGATTTCTCAACTTATTCATTTCGAAAAACAAAATACAGGGTTTTGTAGAGCTTGAAAAGTTACATCTAATGGTGTATAAATCAGATTGGTTCCTGTTCAATTTTAAGAACTTTTTCTATATGGAATATCGAAGGGGTATGATCAAATATTTAGGTTCAAAGCATTAGACTATCATATGGAAATGACTCTTATCAGAATATGATAACAATTATTGTCTTACATAGTTTTGCCCAGGCAGACAATAAACGGCCAGAAAGGCGTTTAAACGCGTTAAAAAAGCGTTTACACCGTTTTAACTCGTTTAAACGCGTTTACTACTGAATTTTTCACTTTTAAATCGTTTTTACAATTTATTTTCAACTAAATTTAACAAAACCATTAAAAACGCCCCAATTTCGTGTTTTTTTCGAAAAAAAAAACGTTTTAACAGTATTTTTCCGTGTTGCTTCGATTACAAAAAAAAAATCAAAACTACAAAAATTTTATTATTATGCTGTCAGTAAGTCATGTGCATCGTCACTAACCAGTTGCTAGTAGGTGATACTCTGCCCTACTAATCTGTTACTAATGAGTAGTAAATTTTTAATTTAACTATTCTGTGACAGTTATGCCTAGTTAAATGTATCTAGATCACGTAACACAACAGAGTGAGTAATCAGTCTGATTACATTCTAGTAAGTAGTAAGTTTTACGACTCGTTGTTTATTAGTAACAGACAACTGATGGTTAGAACATGTATATTTTACTAATAAACAGCAAAAGATCGGGTCCGATATTTATTATTAGTGAACAGAAATTTTAAACCAAGAAAATTTTTTTATTGTCATTAAGACGAAGTCAAAATCGATAGCAGTATAACGATCTTACTGAAAATACTCCGTGTAGTGAGTTTACATATTCTATATTGATGTATTGTCAGTGTATCTACTCAGCAATATTCCACTGTCAATTAAAAACCGCTAAGACAAATATTGTTCGGTGTTAATATCTGATGCGAGTGTAAAAAAGCTTATCTTTGATTTGCATCAGAGTAACTGCCATAAACTGATTTGCTAAACAGGAATACTCGTGCAGCACATCTCATGCTGAATATCTTTGGGGCTGTTCACAAATGACGTCATCACTTTTTCTCGATTTTTCGACCCCCTCCCCCACCCCCCTCCCTATGTCATCACTTACTCCATTGTGGGTGTGGGTGTGGGTGTGGGTGTGGGTCGGCGTGGATGTGCGTGTGTGGGTGCCAGTGGGTATGGGTGTCCGTGTACACCTCAGGGTCGCATGAATATAATACCCACACCCATACCCTCATCGCCTAATGTAAACTCAAATGACATACTCATATCGCTATTCAATTGGAAATGATGAACATAAACAATTAACTTACATTCGTCCGTTATCAAAAACACGGATCACTTATTTAAATTCTTACGCAAATAAAAACACAAAAAGCCAGCTCGTATTCTGATTCAATTATAAATGGTGAACATAAAGGAGTAATTCATGTTCTTCTCAAGCCATCAACGAAAACAACTAATTCAAATTCTTATTAATTGTTAATGTTGAACAAAAAAAACTAACTCATATTCTTCTCACATCGCCAACGAAAACAACCGATTACGATCTAATTTCATTTAAAAATATGAATAACCAACTGATATTCTTATTCAACTATAAATTGTAAATATAAAATACTAACTGATGTTCTTGTCTTTCTTTCAATTACTTTTTCTTTCATCGTCGCTTTCACCTGATAAAAATTAAATGTAATCTTTCACTTTGTCGTTCCTAACGATGTGTTCAGAACAGAACATGAAAGCGGGAATGTTGTTATATTTCAGTTTGAAATAAAATAAAATGATATTTACAGTAGATTTTTATTCAATTTATTGACATTTATTTATTTTTTCCTCACATAGAAAAAAATCTTTTTTCTTTAATTTATTTTCAAATAATAAAAACGTATTTTTCTTGATTTTATGAATATAAACATTGAATTTTCTTTTTTTTTGTCATTGTTATAAAGGAGAAATAAGGATTAATTAAGGGCCCCTCTCTAAAATGAAATTTTTTTTTGAACATCCAATCAAGATGAAATTTTCAGTGGAGGTGTATCTCGAGCTAGAAACCTCCCAGTAAAAATTTCAGCTCGATAAATTGAGTCTACAAAGAGTTAGCATAAGGTTATGGGTCAAAACTTAGGTTTCCGTGCGTCCCAAATTTCTCCGCTATTTCAAATGCTAGAAAAGTCAGGCTGATTTTAAAATGTAGCCAATATGTGGCGCTACAACTTATCAGAGCCCGATTTTTCGATTCTCTCCTAGCTTGTGTTTTTAAAGGATTTCTCTGATGAAATATGAAAAATCACATGGGGGTAAGTTCAGAAAAGTTAGTTTCATATAAACATTAATGAAGCAAGATAAAAAATAAAATAAGAACAGCTAAATATTATTCAATGCACCATGTGATATTTCGGCATCTACTCTCAGACGCCATCATCAGACATAACCAAAAAGAAAAAGAACAATTCCGTTAATATCAGAGTTACTAGAATCCAATATAATATATCAGAATTACACCCTCACGTGGTGCATTGAATAACATTTAGCTGTTCTTATTATATTTTTTATTGATTTTATTTCAATATATTACTTTGTCCATTTATTTTGATAATTGTTACTATACCAATACAGCAACATAATGGACGTTTCTTATTTTAAGTTGGTTCAAGTCAATGAACTCAATTAATCATTTGAATATGTTTATACATTATACTAATATATTAGGTTCTAGTTAATTCTGAATTGAATTCTAGTAACTCTGATATAAATGGAATTGTTCTTTTTCTTTTTTGGTTATGTCTGATGATGGCGTCTGAGAATAGATGCTGAAATATCACATGGTGCATTGAATAATATTTAGCTGTTCTTATTTTATTTTTTATCTTATTTCAATATATTACTTTGTCCATTTATTTTGATAATTAATGAAGAAATCGAAAAATCCGGCTCTGTTAAGTTGTAGCGCTACATATTCGCTACATTTTAAAACCAGCTCGACTTTCCTAGCGTTTAAAATGACGGAGAAATCTGGGACGCATGGAAACGTAAAAATCAAAAATCCTATTTTGAGAAAAAACCATACTTTCTCCTATGGGAAGTTCAGAAAAGTCTGTGCAATACCCTTAAATCTCATCATAAAACCAATAAACTATAGTGCATTCAAAAGTAGACACTTAGCTCTATCTAACGAGCTATGAATCACAAAATTGATGGATTTGACTAAAATTGACATTTTTTTGGGGGGGGGGGGGGGGGGGGGGCCTTAAGACCACTAGTCATTGATGAAATGTTAGAAAGAAAAAGAAAACACTAGTAAAATAAAAAAACAAAAAAATATGGTGTAATAAGCTAAACAGGATTCTTCAGATACAGGCACACAATTTGTCAGTTTTTCTTTGTAAATAAAATGAAACTCATATTTGGCTTCAAACAAGTTTGTCCAATATTTTTCGAATTTCATTAAAAGCTTCATTTGGTTCTAACTCCGAATCAATCTAAATCAAACAAACCAAATAAATTTTGAGTAGAATAAAATTTTACAGAAAGTACTTCTTCTAGTTTATTTTGCTTGTCATAAAAATCTAAAACAGGTACTGTATGTTTTTGAAATGTTTTTAAACATTTTGTTATTGTTTCTTCATTGTTATCAACTCGGCCTGATGTTTGTGCACGGCGTAGTAATCGTTTTGTCATTGTTGTATTTTTTGCATTGATATAGAGAACAAGATTACATGGAGCAATCTATAAGAAAAAGTCAATTCTTAGTCATTTAAAACGTTCAAGAAAAAGGTTAACAAACGGATTCTTCAAATTTTTTTGCTTGAGCAATTTCACGTGGATAGCCATCAATAAGAAATCCTTTTGATTTATCTGCATTTTTCAGCATATTCTTCTTGAGTAAATCAAGTACAACTTCCTAGACAACAAAATACATTTTTCTAAGTAATTATGCGAAAAGACAGAATAACAAACCGTTGCTACTAATTTTCCTTCTTTTATTGAAGCATTAAGTTGTTCACCTTGTTCAGTTTTTGATTGAACAGTTGCACGAAGAAGATCTCTATGTAAATATTCATTTGAAAAACATAGTGTTTAGTGTTTATTAATATTCCTACCCAGTACTCAAATGTGTATAACCATATCTTTGCACGATTCGTTCACATAGTGGTCCTTTTCCAGATCCTGTTATTATAATCGTACTTCGGTATTCTATAAAATTATAAAAAAACCTACCTGGTTCACTAACAACAAAAATAATTGGTTTTCCTTTAAGTATATCGCTATTATCTAGACCAGATTTTGACGAAGATGGTCGATCTTGAGTTGTTGCTTTTGGTTCTCCTTTACTTTGACGAATAGAATTAGATTTTAATTGACTATTCGTTTCTATATGAAAAGTAGAAGGTGAGGATGGACTCATATATTCATTTTATCAATTGTTTCTTACTTGGAGCCATTGTATCGTGTAAAACATTTTTTCTTTCGATAAATGAATCCCATGTTAATGTTTGTTTATTTGTTTTATACTATAGAACAAAGAGAGGCCAATGCCTTTTTTTTCGCATTCATGATGAAATTACTTTTTCAAGAGATTTAATAAGAAAGTCAATATGATCTTCAGGTTTATTAACCAGAAGACCAGTCATTAAAGCCTAAAAATATACTAATTTAGAATGTTTTTCTGTTTTCTATTATTTAAATTTACATTGAATAATTGGGGAATATTTCGTTTATTAATATAATCCATCGCCATACTTGTCATTTCACTAGTTTGACTTTGAAACATGATTGAAAAATTAGCTGAAAGTAGAATAATGATCACATTAAAATAGAATTCTAATTTCGTTTTTTGTTATTATTGTTGAAAACTTTTTGTTTGTCGCATATTGATGTTGTCTTGTTACAAATATAGTGGGAAGAAAGCTATAAGAAAAGATTGATCCAATCACTGAAACTATAAGTACATCTTAATTGGATTGTTCACTAATTGATCAATCAGGTGAGAGATCTTGCCAGAGGTTCTCTTTTTAATTTAGACTTTTAATAGAACTTATCCAAAGAATACATTCTTGTCTTTCGATCTGAGGAAAGCTGACATTCTTAGCTAGTACTATTCGAGAGTTATAAGATTTTTCCTGAGATCTCTGATTTTAGCCAATTAATCATTGATCATCCGAAATCTCACTCAGCCTGAAGTAGTTCATTATGTTGATTCTGATGGTGATATTTATATTTAGGCTCGAAATGATCTCACACTTTTATCTTAATATTTATGAAATTTTGCAATATAAACTCCATTTAACGGATAAATTGATATATCAGAAATATTGAGATAAAAGTGTGAGATCATTTCGAGGCTAAAAATAAATCTTACCATTATACTGAGTATAGTCAGCTACCCCTATCTAGATGGGTGTGAGGGTGATGAGGAGAGTAACACTTATACCAAGACTCGAAAATTTTGACCTGAAATTCATAAATTAATGCATACCTTGATGTTCATTTCCATCCATCTTAAGCATCGCTGTGTCAGGCGAAATTCGAAGATCGTCAATGTCTATGATTAAAGTTTGTTCTGCAGCTATTTCGTATACGCCTCGGTCTACATGCGTAACTAGAAACTGTAACCTGTAACTATCTGATATTGAATACTAAGTTGATGTGTTTTACTATCACCATCAATCATCACGATTCAATCAGAGTTACTCTGCGTAGTTGGAACCGATGAAGAGTGATGGGAAGCTGGTTTTGCTCACTTCTTTTCATTCATGTAAGTTCAGCAGCAGTCTGACCATATTCTCAGAGAATGCCAGAGTTTTTACACCATTCGTACTCATTGATGCAGAAAACGACATTCTACAACAGTGTCGGTATTTTTGTATATCTTTGTCATTAAATTTCGGGTAAAATTATGGTGATAGTTCGATTGTTTTTTTATTGAATAATATTAGATCAGGAATACAATGTGAGAAAAACTAATCAGGCTAGTCATGTGAAATATTAGCAACATCATGGAATCGAGAAGAACTGAAATATTAAATATGTATGCGAGAGATATGAATTACCGAAATCAACTAAATTTCTAACTAAAATGCATAAATAAATCAATCGATTTCAATATTAGGATGATTTTATGACTAAATATCTCAGTTTTAAGATACTTATTTTTAATATTAGTTTTGAAACTATTCTGATAAATATCTTACCACAATTCAATAAATTTAAACGAATAGTAACGAAAACTTCGGCGACACGTTGCACTTGACTAAAGTTATATCATGTGTGTAACACTGTTTGCTTTCTTTATCGAATAATTCGTTTGTTACTTTTGGCAAATAGTAACAATTTACTTTTCTTATCTACCTTATTTCTTCTCTTGTGTTACTTTATATACATACCTTTCAACTCCTAAATATATTGCGAACGATTTCACTTATCAAAAGTAAAACATGTAAGTTGGCAAGAACACGATGAGTGAATGTTGCCAAGGAAAAAATTCATAGCCATGCAATGAGTTTGATTTTGAATTGAGTACAAAAATCAATATTTTTTTCTATAGCATCCTGAACTACCTTCAAACTCACATCGTCAGCTCATAGCTCACTGAACACGTTTATCAGTCCACTGCAATCCCTATGATGTTCTCGTAACTTATTTTTTTCGTGATTTCAACGATTTCTCCACCATCTGAAGACATTAATCAGTAGTTTGACGCTTTTGACTCTGATTCAAACACGTTTCCATGTGGTCCGAAAGTTTTCAAGATTACCAAAAAATATTCGTTGATATCTTCGAGATATTTTCCATTTCCGTGATAGATGTATCTGTTCTGTGCAACTTTAGGGTGTGCGTGTGAATGTGGATCTGCTTCAGGGTCTTCCTTCGTAAGCAAAGACGACAACGTCTATCCAAGTCATTTTTATTAAGACTTATAGACTTGATACGATAGATGATGAACAGGCGTGAGTGATTACACAGCAAGTGTGGTGCGTTAACATCGGCTACCTTAAAACTGAATTCGATCTATCGAGTCGTATAGATCACTGCCAATTTCGTCACTAGGGTGGGTGTGGGTGTGGGTGTGGGTGTGGGTGGGGTGTGGGTGTGGGTGTGGGTGTGGGTG